CAAATAAAAAGGTCACACACGTGCATGCCACACCCTTCCCAGCAGCCACACAGTGACAAAGGGCACAAAACTCCCCGTGGCACCCAGAAGAGAACAGCGGCAGGAGGCTCCCAGCAAACCCTTTACTAGAGAAACGCAGGCCATTGAGACCCATTTTTGCCTCTAGATTTTCACTAGATCATAGAGTAATTGGAGTTGCAAGGAAGATTTAAAGGTCATCTAGTCCAAGCCTCCTGCAATGGGCAGGGAGGTCTCCAGCTAGATCAGGTTTCTCAGGGCAACCATGGACCTTGAATGTTCTCAGGCAGGGCTTAGCTTCCACCTCTCTGGTAAAACTGTTCCTGTGTTTCAGTGCCCTGATCGCAAAAAACTTCTTCCTTAAATGTAATCTAAATTAACTCTTTTAGTTTGAAAGTCCTTTCTTGTTGTCAGCTCTCCTCAGTGGCTGCTTGGTCACATCTGCACTTTCAGGGCTTTGTCTGCAGTGCAAGATGCAGTTCTGACCAAAGATGGGCTGGCTATGATTCCATAATTACTCACTTTCCAGCCCAGAGATGACCTAAACCACCCATCAGTGCTGAAGATCAGACAGGTTGTTTTCAATTTCACAAACTACCAGGTTCACAGTAACACCCTTTGTGAAATCAGTGCTGATGTCTAACAACCAATAACAAACAGCAATACCTCCATTACCTGCACCAGTCATAACAATGCAAAAATGTTTGCTAGCAAATGTATCAGGATTTTTTTTACCATGGGGCTTGATTAATTTACTTTTCTGAACAGCATCATGGAACCTATGGCAAAGGGACTAAAAAGGTTGAAAACCAAACACATAATAAGGAGAGCATGCAACTTATCAGCAGAGACTGCCTTTGGTTCTCATCTGTAACTTAATAAATGAGAAATTAATAAATAAGAAAGATAAGAGAAAAAGTAGGCAAGAAGAGTAAAAGAAAGGGAAACCCTTGAGCTGAGAAACCTGGGTCAAGAAATCCAACACTGCAAGAAGAGAAAGTGCTGGGATCTGTATTTTTGTTCAAGGCAAAGGTGGCATGGCAGGTCTGGGCTGGGACTAAATTCAGATATGAGTTGTGAGCAGTGCCAGTACTCAGGAATGCTGGAATTGGTGTTCTGCTGAGATTTCACAGCACTGTGCATCAAAGTGAGCACCCAGACACTGCACTGATGGAAATTGGTGGTCCCAGGGCAGTTTTTCATTCACAGAAATGCACAGCAAAGCAAGTACCCACACAGCATGCTGATGAAAATTAAAAGAACTAATGCAGTTCATATGACAAGAGTGACTTACAGAAACACTGCTGGCACCACAGGATGTCAGCTGGGGCTTTTAATTCCTGACTGGACTCGTTCAGACGGGCAGCTCTGGCTGGCTGGGCTCCGTACAGGTGCTTTTCCACTTCTGGCTGCTATTTTTCCCCAGGAGGACGTGGGCCAGACCTCCACAGCCTCCCTGGGCACAAGGTCAGTTCTGGGGGCACGTGGGGATGCCGGGGAAAGCTTTTACACAGCCAAACAACACTCTGGCCTCCAGCTCTTGGAAAAGTTTCCACAGTCTGCGGAGCCCTTCAAACTGCCCAAACACTTTGGAAATCACAGCATCTCATTTTGCTGCCAGCTGGGAAACTTTTCTCACTGCATAAACTGTCAGAAAACAGAGCACACCTTTTCTGGGGAGAGACGTTTTGTCTCGTTATTATCAAAGCACAGAGTGAGGCTCTGAGCAAAGCCTTGTGGTGTTTCACTTAGGATTCCCCACGAGGGCCCTATATCCAAAGGCAGCACAGGCACCCTTCTGCATTTTTGTCTAGGCTGAACTCCTACACTTGTACCAACTATAGAGCTCTGGCTTGTGTCTCCCACCCACAGCTCACATTTCTCTTGCATTAGTGCTCTCCCATCAGTGCTATTAATGCAGTCACATCAGGGGATCCAGTTGCTTTGTGGCCTGGAGGGCCCTTAACCATCCCCAAATTAAAGCCCTCTGGGCAATAAAATAGTTGGGCCCTAAGGATTTTCTTGGAAATGTGCTCTGAATGAGCAAACAGAAAAGAAATTAGTGCTCTGTTGATCCTCCTGGCTCTAAGACCACCTTTTGCTTGGTTTACTAAGAATTAATATGCACTAATGGGAAGTTAAACCAGCTTTAAAGTCTTTGTTGCATGATGTCTCTTAATATACCCAGTGAATATTTCCAAGGCACAAGTCCCTTTGCAAGTGGGGCTCCAGTGTATGTCTGAGCCATTTTACACACATTTAAGATTTTACACACATTTAAGATTTTACACACATTTTCCTCACCACCCATGCTAGAGAAATCTGGACTTGGGATCCCATTCAAAGGGAGAAAATTAACTCCAAACCATGGGTGCCACATGCTGGTCCCATGGGCAGAACAGGACGGCAGGGAATTGATTATTTGGGCATAATCAAACCTCCCTTCCCTGGATAGGTGCTGGCTGCATGGAGAGGATCAGAAAATGTGTAATTTAATAGGTGAGGGAAGAAGGCAAGAGGAACCAGCTCTCCAGCCTGGATTTATCTGACTTTGGTTTAGATGTAGGAAAGACATGGATGTCAGCCTGTCTGTGCCCATAAAAAGCAGTAATCTGAGCAAAGCAAAGCTTTCTCCTCCCTCCAGATATTAGCTCAGCTCACCAAGATCTGAGTCATAGATTTGTCTCTGCCTCCATTTATTATGAAAAGAGCCCATGGCAAGTTCATTCCCAGCTCACACGTGCTAGCAAGGTGTCTGTGTTTATATGGGCAAATATATGGGATGAAGCTATATTTGGATTTTAGCCATGAAACAGCCAGGGACAGACCCTCTTATGTGGTCAGTCACACTCATCTGTGTGTAACTGTTGTTCTTGTTCTGGATAAACATCCAGCAACCATGAAAGCCCTCATCAAACCAAAAGTGCTGTTTTCAAAGGGAATTGCAAACTCTCTTTGCTAACAGGGTTTCCAAACACACAGCCCTAAACTGACACCGGCTGAAATCAATTACAGAACTTACAGGTGACTTTCTACCTGAGGCCCATAAACTGCTATGCATGGCAGAAAGCTCCTTGAACACTGGCTTGGTTCAATGATTTCTCTTCCTTGGTTCCCCCTTCCCTCAAGGGCTGCTAAGCTCAGAGTTTTTAACAAGCTGACACCTCTGAATGCACATTCCTGCTTACCTTCCCAAGGTGCTGCTCCCGTCTTTTGGTCCTGTGAAGTTAATTTATGAAATGTAAAGAAAATATCAGACAGTGCCAAGGTCCTAAGGGCACAAATAGGTGTTAATGTCCCTGCCCAGCTTTCCCTGAAACCCCCACACTCCTGCCCGTGTCCCAGGACCCAGGGACAGCAGCACCATCCTCAGCTGGTGACTGTCCTGTCCACAGTCTCATCTCCATTTGCTCCTGCCTGGGCCTTTGAGTGACCTCGGGCTTTGTTCCCCAGGGCCACCTCTGCCCATCTGGTGCCTATTTGATCCCAAGCTTGGGCAGCTTTGGTCACTCAAAATGTTGTGTTTTCTAGGTTAATATAAGGTTACCTAAAATCTAAAAAAAAAAAAAAATTAAACTACATTTTTGATTGATTTTATTCTTTTGCCACTGTATCAGAAGTGACCAGAAGATGAAGCAGAGCAGCAAATTCAGAATTCACCTTGAAGATGGATAATTCTGTGGGATAATTCTGTCTTTGGGGAAAGATGGACAGGGGCTGGGCTCCATCCTTCCCTGAAAGTTAGGAAGGGAGATGACCTTATGACTGATCCCATTCATGTGATCTGAATCAACTGCATTGTTTTTATTTTGTTGGATTATTTACGTGTCTAGGAAGCTTAGTTTCTGGGTCATGAAATGAACAAGGTAGAGATTGTAACATCCCCTGGGAATGGTGGGCACAGCATTATCCAGGTGCTCAGTCTGGCCCTGACCTGCCCTCCCAAAAGGCCACACTATTGCAGGGACAGGAGACAACATCCAAATCAAAGCAGGACTTGGATTCCAGAAGGTGGTGGGGACAGAGGGCTGAAATAAAACACCCATCTCAAATCCCACGCCTCTGTTCTGTGAATAATATCAGGAATATGCCCATGAACTCCTGACTGCACTGCTTGGCCTCTAGAGATACCAACATCTCCATGACCACACTGGAATGATTCCTGCAATTCCTCAGCATCAGCACTAAAATATCCATCACCCCTACACCACCTGTGGCCACTGAATGTGCCTTGTAAACATCAAAACACTTTCCAGCATAAATCTTCAGAGCTCTGCAAGAAACTGTTTAACAGCTCCTCTCACTTTTTATGTTCTGCACCGAGAAAGGGAAGTGGCAGAAGATGTTATTGAACTTCAGGCGTTTACTTACACTAAAGGTAGGCCACAAATCTCACTATGAGACCCTATCAAAACATACCATAGACTGTTTTCTAGTCAGCCCATGCACATCTCTCTATTACCAGTGAACAGTCAGGCAAAAATGTCCTTTGGCTTCTGTCTGCCTGGAAAATTCATCTTACTCCTAAAATCCTCCTAAAGTTGGAAGTTCTATCTGGAAATCCTTGGATAAGTCAGTCGTAGGGTGGTGTTTTCCAGCATAGAAATAAGCTAGGCTAGGAAAATATCTTACTCTCCATAGGGTCATTCACTTCTATGTACAAAATAAAACTCATTCTTTAATGGGAACAATCGCCTCTAGGAATGTGAATCATTCATGGGTGGTGCCTACAGCTTCAGTCTTGAAAGCAAAGAGAAACGTGAGAAGGTCCTGGGCTGGCATGGGGCTCGTGCTGACTGAAATGGAGCACATTGAGTGATGGTCACCGTGCCAGGCACATTCCTCAGGGGGCAAAGCCCAGAGCCACCAGCAGCACCCATCGCCAGTGCCCAGGGCAGATTGCATCCCCACAGCAGGGCTGTGAGAGCTCAGCCTCTGAGCACCAGTAACTCGTGGCGACCCTCAGCTGGGCTGATCTGCGCTGCTGTTTGAGAACCTGCCTCCTCCTCCTTCTCATTGCTTCACACCGTACTGCCCATCCAGTTGAAAAAACTGGCTTCAGTTGGAGGGACTTTTAAAAGATTTCAAAAGGTGAATAATTTGGGGTTATTTGAAGCCTTTTGCAGAGTAAATTGCAAGCAATTCCTCCCACTCTGATGATGCTTTCCCGGACCAAAGACAAGCATTTGGGATTGTTGATTCATGTGTGCTGTGGACTCTCCACACTGAGATTGGAGAAATGCACAAACCCCAGGGGCTGAGTGGAATCTGGAGTGAGCTGCAAACCAGTTCTCTTTCCATGGAATATTGGCATAACACAGAATGAGGGGCAAAGTCTGCAATCAACTTCCTTTGGCCTCAGTCTTGAACAGCATGTGTTGAAGAGAAATGACAAAAGCAGCTCTGAGAAGGTTGGGACATAAGTGGTTTTCAGCTGCATCCAAACACAGAGAGGATTATTTTGTACTTTGCTGCTCTGTGCAAGTGCAGAAATCACCAAGGGAGCCAATACAATAGAGCAACAATACACCTGAGGAGCCCAAGGAGAGGTCAGGGAGACACTTCCATCATCTTCTCCAGAAATTCCCTTTGGGTAAATCAAAAAAGTTCAATGTCCAGCAGTCTCAGTATTTTACATATGCTCAGCACCAAAGACAAGCACTCAAAGCCCACAGTTCCCTGTTTCTGAGCAGTTTAATTTTGTAGATGTGCCTATAGCAAGAACAAGTTCCTCCAGGAAGCTACCCCACTGCCTCACTCAGAGCATTTGGTGGGCTGGAAAAAAAAGAAAAAGAAAAAAACAAATACATTTAATTTTAAAAAAATCAACCCCCAAACCCCTGCTTTCTAGAATCAGAAACCATAAGGCAGAGAGTTCCACTTTATCACTATCTGCCTAAATATATAAATAATCCAAAATCTAAAGTGTGTGTTGGACAGCACCCTCAGGCTATCGTTTTACACCCAGCTGTTATTCTCAGAGGATTCTCAGTAAATCCAGAAATAGACCCAGCCAGGAGTCAGGAACAGGCTCAGAAGAGAATGTCGCCATATGGCAGCTCCTGACTGTTGCATAAATGTATTGATTAGCTGAACCAGTTTCAGGATGTCTCTATTAAGGACAGTGGCATCAAGGGGATAAGTAAAATTATCAGAAAGATGAAAAAGTACCTGAACTGTCTGTTCTTTTCCATTTAAGCATCTTCTTGTCCAAAGTATGGCACCGATCGCTTGACAAAATCTGTTAGCTCAGTTTAAATCTTGAGCTTAAAGGAAATTCCTAAATAAAAATCAAACATAATAATAATAATATTTTATTGCTATGACAACCCAGAATAGCATATTAGAAACCCAAATGACAATATTCTTCTGTCTCTTGCATTGACATTGGCAAGGAAAGAAATTATGTTGGAGTTTTTAATGTAAGTTTTCAAAAGGGAAAGATGATTGCACATTAAGACCCACCAGGAAAATAGAATCCTCAAAGAGAATTTTCTTTCACAGTTTAAGCAGCTAGTGAGTGGGTTTTGAACTGTGTGCTTTAATCCAGAGAAGAACCTGCTGCAAAACAAGTTCTCCCATTCACTTGAGTGACCAAGAGAAAAACCATTTTATCACAGAGTCACAGAATGGTTTGGGTTGGGAGGGACCTTAAAGATCACCCAGATCCACCCCTGCCATCAGCAGGGACACCTTCCACTAACCCAGGTCACTCAAAGCACTGTTGCTGTCACCAGCAGTCCAAGACCAGCTCAAAGGGGACAAGAGCTGCAAACTTTAACTTGGTCTGGGACACAGAAATCTTCATTGTGTCCCCTTTGGTGACAGGTGACACACCTGGAACAGTGTGTCACAGGAGGGAGTGGGAACCCAGGACATTCCTCTGGCTGCCCTGCAGGACTGGAGACCCTGTCAGGGGACTCAGAGACCTTGGCACAGAGCCCAAGACCCCTGTGCCTTTGATTTGGCCCTTGGAAAAACAATTACCAACCTTGTAGGAAGGATTACAAGTTTAAATAGCCACGAAAGTTTAAATAGGATAGTGAATTTATCACAGAGTGGAAAAATAGATTTTGGGTTTTTTTAAATGGGGGTTCAGGGGGCAAGATGGAGGAATCTGGGCATGTCCAGCCTTTGGTTTTGGGGTTAGCTTGTGCTGGGCATTCCTCTCCCTGAATAAAGAATGAGCATCCCAGCATGGGCACCAAGGAGCTCTGTGCTGAGGCTGGTCCCAGGCTCTAGATGAGAGGATAAACCCAGGTTTTCAATTGCTTGGGACTGTGGCTGCTGTCTTGAACTTCTGGAAAAGCTGAAGCTGCTCACCATGACACCAAGCCAATTTCATAGCTGGGTGACCACTGTAGAAGTAAAGAACAGCAAACAAACTCATCCTGAAAAGTTTTCTGTATTGAGTTTTGGGTTTAAAATGTTTGCAAAGAAAGTTCTGTTCGTTTAGAGAGTTGTTGGCCGAAATGGATACATTTTCCAGGGAAGTCAGCCAGTTTTTAAAGGAGGCCAAATCTGTTTCCACATGGAAATTGGCTCATTTTTGGAGTATAGATGAGTTTTGCATAAAATATATTAAATTCCTTCCCCCACCCACAACCATATACACTTTCATGCATCTTGATGGGAGAACTGCTGTTCCACCATCACAGGGAAATGCAATTTCAAAAAGTGTAATATTATGTAATTAAAATGCCAGTCATGTCAGTATGGATTAAATAGAGAAAATAAAGGAAAAAAAATCTGGAAAACAAAGATTATCCAATTCAGTCAGCTCTTGGAAATGATTTTTCAATCTACCTAAGCTCTTCCAGAAGCTGTACATGGGTGCAGATACTGTCAACATTCTTGTCTTTCAAAAAATAATCAAAGCCTCAGCAATAGAAAATAAAGTTTGGAAAAAAATCCACAAGCCATGACATAACTATTAACAACTGCATGGTATATTGCCATTAATTAGCAAAAGGCCAGTTATACAACTTGTTCAACTTTAATAGCCCCATTTGGACAGCAAGTTTGTTCCAAGAAGCACACCCTCCTCAAATGAGGAGTATCATGGAAAAAAGAAAGATGTTTTTAATACATATGTACCAAAGGACCAAGATGTGCTGAAAAACACATAGCACGTCCCAATGCCTCTCTCTGAAGTGTCTGCCATTTGGAATATTGTAATTTAAATACTTTGCCTGTTTATTCCATTTTGAATGGTTTCATTACAGGACTGGAGGGAAATTCTCCAGAGAAACTAGAAAAAAAAAAAGTTTTGGAAAGTATTTCAGGTTCAGAATTCTCAGAATGCCCCATTTTAACTTTTTCAGTAAAAGAAAAAAATCACTGCATGTTGACACTCAGATATGTATTCTACAATATGTATCTATAAAATAGCTAGGAAATAAATTATAAATTAATAAATTATCTTGATTCAAAAGTATATGGCTTAGAAATGATCAAAGAAGATTTCAGGTGGTCTGCATTAAATGCTAAAGGAAAAATTCTGTCCAAAAATGTCAACATTTTGTCAAGTTACATGGGATGGAAACCCAAGTCTTACCCTCTGTAATCTTACACATCCTGGATCAATTGCATCTTTAGTAAAGGAGATCCTCATGCTTGACTGATGGATGTGAAACCTTATTCCAGATAAGCCTGGAACTACAGCAATGTGTAATTGTGGCACTCACAACCATGCTGGCTATGAGGAAGAAACCTGTGCAAACATGTAGGAATCCCAGTTTATCCAGCTCTTCTCTTGTGGAGAAAGGTCATTGCTTCATTCAGGCGTTCACTAAATATAGAAAATGTTCAGGAAGGTAAGAACTTTGATCTGGAAATACTTGTAGGCTCAGTGCTATGAAGGGATGAGGGAAATGTTTAAAAATGATTGAGGGAAACAGATGTTTGGCTTCTCCATCCACTGCCACTAAATCAGTCACTGGCCCGAACCAGTATTTAACACAGGTGATTTTCCACAAAGCTAATCCTGCTTTCATTCAGGGCATTCCTCTTCCAATAAAACTCCATCTGCTTGCCTGGCTTTAGACACCAGCATAAATTTTGGGTTGTCCAAATGGATCTTGCAAGGGGGTCTCTGCACCAAGGCTGAGAGAACCACATGCTGCTTAGTGAGAAATCACAGAGCTGCTCACAGCTTGAGCTGTCTGAGTCACCAGCTGATGAGAAACTTGACTTTTTGCTTGATTTTTTTCCCCTGTTCTTTTTTTAAAAGGAAGCTTTAAAAAATAAATAAACCCTACAGGCAAGCAAGCAAGCAAACTTTCTCATTTCATAGGCACCTCCTCTGAGCCATGGTTAAACACACCACAAAATCCATTTTCTCATGGATTTTTTTCATTTATTTCCTGCTTGCCTCCTTTTGTTTTTCCACAGGCATTAGTGTCATTTTCTCCTCCTGCACACAGGCTGTGAGCATTTAGTTCATTCCCTCTGACTTACACAGGAAAGGGCTACCAACTGTTCCCTACCCCAGCAGCTGCAGCCAATTCCCCTTTGCAAACAAGGAGCCACACTCAGAGGGTTTTGCTAAAGGAAGGTGATAGCAACAGTTTTGAGTTATTAGATTGCAGGGTAAGGGCAGAAGACTTGGAAATCAAGTCAGCCAGGTCCTCCCCTTGCAGCCCCAACCCTAATTTAAGGGCTAAGCTCACTGAAGCACCCCATGGTCAGCCCAGGCTGGGTCTGCAGCTCACAGCTTTTCTGCTCTCACAGCTTTTCTGCTCTCCCAGCTCATATTGGTCCTGAAGAGCAGACCCAGATGCTTATGGACCAGTCAATAAACACAGATAATAGCTTAAAACGCTTAGCTCCGTGCAACTGTCCAGACAATTATCTACTTAATGTATTTACACCATTCTTATTATGTCTCATCAGCTCCCATGAATTAATGGACTTTATCCTCTGCAAGTGCCTGTCACAATAGGACAAAAAATTATGTCAACATTTGTTCTTATTTTTCTTATGCCAGGGTTCTTCTGATCATCAAAATAGTTTTTTATCTTTAAAATGCTGCAAAAAACCATACTGTCAACAAAAGCAAGTTTGTACTGGAAAGCTTACAAGTTCAACAAAAGTAATGCTGCTGCTTAACAAAACTGTGATTGCAAAAGAACTCAAAACATTTACACTGCCATGAGTGTAATTTAAGGATATTTAGCCTTTGCTCAACCTTTTACAGACAAAATGGTGTTTCACCCTGTCTATTATAACAACATTTAGATTGCAAAACCTAAAAAAGAGTATTAGCAGCAAAACTGCATTGTGAATGCTAAAGTTGTATTACAATGCTGCAGCTTTACAAATAGATAAATGATTTCATACGAAGAACCTTTTAAATTTTTTATCATCAAAATTTGATTGTAAGATAAAATTTGTTTAATGTCAGCATATAGGGTAACTTTGCTTATGGCATGTATTTTAGTTCCCTATTACATTTTGGGAACAACAGGTGATAACATATTGGTATCTTACAGGAAATAAACCATTGGTAAAATCACTGGACTTTTATTTCATAGTTCTGGATTAATCCAGAGCTTTTGTAGAAAGGTATGGCAATTCTTGTAGTCTGAGTCCACTGCAGACTTCTCACAGACTTCTGCAAGCTGAGTCTATCAAAGCTTAGTCAGGATGAAAAACATGGGAGGATGTTTTGCTTCTCTCTAATTCTGAGAGAATTCTGGGCGAGTTTTTAGTAGAGACTTAAGCGTACCCATACACAAGAGAACACACTTGGTCCAGGGCTCCACAATTTGCACACCCCCATTGAAAAAAGATCATGCAGATCAATAAAATATCTATCTTCTGAAATAAACTGCTGAACAAAAATCAACATTGTGATACACAACTTGAATCCACATGTGGGTTTTTTTAAGCTTTAGGCTTCCTTTGGGAAACTCTGTTATGTGTTCACCCACAAAATCAACTCTTTTTTTCCCTCTACCCTTAACACACATTTTACCCACAAAGGGTGAGACGTGCTGCTCTGTTCATGGCCTCATGGACTGGAATTGGAGGTGAAAGTTGTTTTGGGCTAAAGGAGTATACAGCTGATGTATTGCTTCCATTTATTATTTGATCTCATTCTATTGTGTGCCTCCTTATGGCACACTCAATAGGTCTGCAATCATGGGGAACAAGATAGAAAGGGTAGGGCAAGGATTGTATTTCCTGCCTTGGCTGGTGAATAATTTTTATTAGAGCTTATTTTGAAACACAACTTTGAGATAAGAATACAGCATGAAGGATTAGAGATACAGTGTTCTGGACTGAAACCTACCGTTATTTATTTTAGCTTTATGTAAGCAACATGAAGAGTTAATGCACTGTCCACTTTTTAACAGCTGAAATGTTTGAGCTTTTGTTTAAAAAAAATGGGAAATGATACAGTGCTGTTTAAAAAAATTGTTTTTCCAGCTCCTGTGGTACAACAATTGTTTGATATAAACTTTCATGACACTGCGAGCTTCCTCTGTGCTAATAGCCCAAATGTTCTTTTTCCAGCAGGAGGAAAGTGCCTGTGTCCAGGGATAGATCACACAGCTGCCCCAGGACAAGAAACCCCATGGTGGTGCCAAGGAGGGCTCAGCAAGGACACGGAGCCACGTGGGGTTTGACACTGGGGGAGGATGGAGGGAGGGGAAGGCAGGGCAGTGTCGTTTTTAAAGGAAAACCCTTGTGCAGTGTGGCTCCTGAGGGAAAGGAGGACGTGCAGTAGAGAATTAAATGCAGCTGTTTGCTTACCAAGCGGAGCAGGCAGCCCTGTGCCTGCCCCAGGGCCCTGAGTGCTGCCGGGAAGGTGGAGGGTTGGCAGCACAGCAGGTGAGATGTGAGCACAGCTTGTGTCCACCTGAGGACATGGAGAGGGGTGACCTGCAGCTGAGAGCATGGCAGTGCCCCGGGACAGGGCTGGCCAGAGGCTCAGGGAGCAGCATCCCTGCTCCACCCTTGGGAACCCAGCACATCCCTCTGTCTGTCCAGGATGGCCAAGACCCTGCCAGGGGGCTCAGAGACCCTGGCACAGACACCTGCGGGTTTGATTATGGCCCATGGAGCAAACTACCAACCTTGTATGAAGATCAGCAAGCCACAACAGTTTAGGTAGAATATTAGTGAAGTTATCACAGAGTGGAAAAGGTAGATTTTGGGGTTTTTGGTATGGGGGTTCAGGAGACAAGATGGAGGAAACTGGGTGTGTCCAGCCTTTCTCCTTCTTCTTCTTCTTGGCCTCCATCTTCTGCTGTGATGGTGGCACTTACAGATTGGTTTAGAGTAGAAGCTCACTGCCTAACACGGGTGATAGGTATTGGGAAGTAATGTTATATGTAGTTTTGAGTATAAAGACATAACACCATCCCAGGGGCAGGCAGAGTGCTTGGAACTGTCCTGCTGGATGGACCTCGGCAGGGCAGGAGAAAGAATTTTATAGATAAGAAACAATAAACAACCTTGAGACCGAGAACTGAAGAGCTCTGACTCCTTCTTCAAGCGCCAGGCTGGGACAAGAGACTTTAACATTTCTCAGGGTCACTCTGAGCAGCTAGAGATCCTGACACCACTCCCAAGAAACACCACTCCCCTTATGGGCATGGGCACCCTGGGATGAGGATATCCCACCTCCAGCCTTGGGGCTGGGCAAGGCAGAGGGCAGCATCTCTGGCAGCAGGTTCCCAGCGATCAGAGGGGCAGAGCCGTGCTTTGATCAATGTGTGATGATGACTTTTGGGAATTATGGCTGAGGAAGTGAAAGAAAATTTGCAGTGCAGCCACATGACTCTTGGAATAATAAAAACCACTTGAGAAGCTGCAGGTTAGGACAGGCCTGGTCAGAAGTTTTCAGAGAAACCTTCAACTCCTTCTTGATGTAGCTTGTTGAAGTGGAGATCTTACAGGCTTTTGCTCGTAAAAAGAGTTGAAAGATCCCCCAAAAAATGCCTTGCCTAGGAAGCAGGTTGCACAAACTCAGGTCATCCAAACCTTCCCACCTTCAGCTGCCTGGTGGGGGTGGCCCATGCCTGACCTGCAGCTGTGCCCCTCACACACACAACACCACTTGTGAGCAGGAAAACCAAACAATGGACCCTGACCCAAACAGCCCCAGGGACTATCCCAACCCTTTGGCCCAGGAGTGCCAGTGTAGATGGAAACGTGCATCCCTTACCATGGGCTCCACGAGCAGGCTCCTCCTGTCTCTGCAGCCAAGGGGGCACCAGCCAGGGCCAGCAAGGTCCCTTTGCACAGCTCAGATGTCTCCCACCAGCCTGCAACAAGCCCAGCATGCACAGTGCTGCGCTCTCCGAGGAGTCAGTCCCTCCCTGTGGGGTCTGCAGAGCCCCTCTCTGTGTGCCCCAGGGAGCAGGGCCAGCACAGAGCAGTTATCACACCCAGCAAATGCCCTGCAACACCCTGACTTACCATCACTCAGCCCCTCCCTGGGCTTCTCACTGCTGGACTGACCAAAGCCCCAGACAACTGATCCCTGCACACTTTGTGTGAGGCCCCTCTGGCCCCCAGGCTGTCTGTGCAGGCAGGTGGGACGGTGCAGGTACTGCAGCAGTAAAATGGAGGTGAGTGCTGAAGCTCTTCTGCATCAGGTGTGCAGCAGTTAATTTGGGATGGCAAACAGCCCACAGTGGCCAGTTCCTGTGTCCTGTCCAAAAGGTGATGACATTCCCTGATTGAAAACATGATCCTATGCACCTCACAGACAATTGCAGTCACGGGCTAAATTGTATAAATCTACTTCCACAAAAGATAAAATCTTCCCTTGTATTTTTTTTCCATTGCTCAATTAACTATTGTTTTGCTCAGCATGCTTTAATCATAAGTAAGTTCATTAATAGATGTGCTCTTTGGAGTCATGGGGGACTCTGTGATATAATAGCATTAATCTTTCTGAATAACATCATTAATATCCTTTGCCCCTTAAAGGCACCCACTCCATCCCCCAGGCAATTATAAAACTTTGTTCCATGGTACTGAATGAGCTCATCCAGCTAAAATGACTACAATGCATGTCTGCAGAATATTGCTGTTGGTTGAAATCTATTTATTTATCCTACTGGTCAGACACTATTAGAATTGTTTGTGAACATGTTGGCTCTTTTGCTGTAAAGCCACCAGCTCAGCTGGCTGCTCCCCACCCGCACCTCAGGAGAGCTGTCCTATAGAAGGGTCATGAAAGAAGAAGGAGATCTAGAAATCCCTAAGCTGGGAGCTTTTTGACAATTCTCTTTAATAATCTAGCAGTTTGACCACTAGAGATCTATCCTATTAAGGGGACTCCCATGAATTCAGCAGGTTCGGGAATCTTGCTAAGCTTACTTGGCATTTCAACCAGCCTTGCTAAAACAAAATTCCCAGTTTCTGAGTGAACTGGCACTTTTCTGCCCAGAGCAGCATCTCCAGGCAGTGAGAGGCTGGGCTATGTCTATTAAAGATTTCCAGCACCAGAACATGTTTGAATATATTACATTTTCCATCCAGACATTTTGTATTTTGGTTCCCCCCAGACGAAGGGGGGGGTGATGAATCTGACTCCATGTCCTCAGAAGGCTAATTTATTATTTTATTATATGATATTATATTGTATTAAAGAATGCTGTATACTAAACTATATTAAAGAATACAGAAAGGATACTTACTGAAGGCTAAAAAGATAGTAATGAAAACTCATTACACCCTCCAGAGTCTCGACACAGCTTGGCCCTAAATGGCCAAAGAGTGAAAACAACTCACACCAGAAATTCAATGAAATAATCACCTTTGGTAAACAATCTCCAAACACATTCTAAAGGAGTAAAACACAGGAGAAGCAATTCAGATAATTATTATTTTCTTTCTTCTCTGAGGCTTCTCAGTTTTTTAGGAGAAAAATCCTGGGTGAGGGGATTTTTCCAGAAAATGAGACTGCTACATAGACACTTACATCTTCCCATCTTGGAGTCAAGATGCAAACTTCTAAAGAATTTGGGTTTACCTTTTATTCATCCCACCTCCTCTTCAGAAAAACAGACACACTGCTCTTCCCTCCTTTATGCAGCAGGCTGGGAACTGTAGATAAAAATTCCTATAGAGAGGTGAGATATCTGAATTTTTTCATGAGTGTACTGGGTAGCTGCTGTGTGCTCTGAGCAGAGCAGCAGAGTTTCGTGGGCTTGCTGTGTTTATTCTGTCCATATTTGGATGGGAAGAGGCATAGGCAGCAGATGAAAGTAGTTCATATAATAAAACTAGGTTTGGATGAAGCTCAGCACTATATTGCTGCTTCGTTTCAGCACTCCTGAAATAGTAAGACCTTGTCAAATTCAGTCCCAGAGGAAAGGACCCGGCAGATTTCAGCTCCAACATGTGCCACCTAGTTGCACTTTGCCATATTTGCTCACATTATGGCATCTATGTGTGGAGGAAGAAGGGAAGAATTTCCCCATTTCTAAGCTGTAAAATGTCTTTCAACACCTCTCTCCCTTCCTGCAGTAGCAATTTGTCATTACTGGTCACAGAGAGAGGCTATTACACAGCTACAGCCACTCCATCTGCAAGCACAGCCATCCAAAATGTGGATCCAGCTTAAGTTTAAGCAGGAGGAATTAACATTTTTTTCTTAAATTCCAACTTGCATCTCAAAAAATCCCCCAAAGCAACTCAACTCTTCTTGCTCCCTGTTTAGTTTCCAGCTATGCACAAATTCCTGAATACAGGAGCACAGCCTTTTGACCAGGGGTTTCATATGTGCTCCCAAAGGTATGATGCACTTTGAGGCTGCAAGTTACATGAGAGGAAGGGGCAGAGAAGCATTCATGGACAAGGAACTCTGCTAAACCTTGAGCACAAGGAGGAGTGGCCAAATTCCACCCACTGCTGAAGGGCAGTGCCCAAGGCCAGGCTGGATGGGGCTTTGGGAAACCTGCTCCAGTGGGAGGTGTCCCTGCCCAGGGCAGTGGAGGGCTGGAATTAGATGATCTTTAAGGTCCCTTTCAACCCAAACCATTCTATGATTCTGTGATTCTGTTTGCAGCTTTGTAGTCAGATTTATCTGAAGGGCAAGTACAGAGAGGATGGGGAAGCTGCACCCAAATATGACAATGTTTAAAGGTACCTGGAGTCTGAGATCGGGGAGGAGGCATTGATCAGAAACATCCTTTTGTTCATTCCTGGCTCATTCCAGTAGGAGGAAGGACATGACCACCCTAGCACAGGGATGCTGCTTCTCCTGGAGGCCAGAATCCTGATTTTAGCAGGAAGGCGCTCCTGGGAGCAGAATATCCCCCAATCCCTGCAATGTTAGAACCAGTTACACCTTGAGTTGTTCCTTCTGTCCAGTATAACCATGTAGGGTGAAGGAACGCAGCCATCTCACTGAGACCAGCCCAGCACAGGAAACCAGGGTATCCTTCTAACCAAAACAGAGCTGCAGTGCCCTGGGTGCTCCTCCTTGCTGTGCCACAGCATTCCCAGACATCAGGAAATCCTCAGTGCCAGAAATGCTCTCTTTGTGAGGTGGGAATAATTCCTTTCTCCCACAGCAGCCCTTTGGACAGGGATCTCACGGCTGCAGCTTTGCAGGCAGGCTGTGCACTGTTTTTAGCACAGTGGGAGCCCAGATCCCAGGCAGGCCCTGCAGGCCCAGCAGCGCAGGCCGGTGAGCAGGGCTGCGGCCTGTCCTGCCCTCTCTCCAGGCCTCCAACCTCCCTGTCAGGGACATCTGCAGGGCAGCCACAGCCACAGGGCTGCTGACCCCACAAAAGGAGGGTGGGACAGTTTTCACCACACTCCTTGCATCCATAGGGGCATGCAAGTTTAGAAATATTGGATGAATAATTCCTCAGCTGCATCTGAGGCATAGGCCAGAGCAAACTCTCTGCTGACTGCAGACCTGTTGCCTTGCAGCTCTCAAATAACATATTTGGTTTAAACCTACTTTCATGCCTTCATCCAAATGTTTCTGCCAAAGTTCACATCTCTGAATATCCCACTCCTGCCTCCTGCTCCCTCTCCCTCCATCTTCCTCCCCACAGCCGTGGGAACAGACTTCATCACTTGAGAAAAATGCCCTGCTCGTACCCCCCACTGTTGCTCGCAGCAGACAAAAAAAATTAAACTCTTTTGAGCGGAGAATCCTTGTCAGGACAAGAAACAGCACTGAGCTCAGCAAGGATGGCACGTAGAACCAGAGAGGTGGCTCAGGCTGTGTGTGCTGCAACCAGCTGTCTGTCTGTCACTACAATACAGTGGGGAGGATATGGAATATAATTTCCCTCTCCATTTACATTTAATACAATGGCTTTGGACCACACATTATTTAAAAAAAAAACAATGTGAAGCCTCAGCTCTTGGATTTCACTAATGGCTTGTTACTCCTCTAACACTGTCACTTCAGTGAAGAGTGACAGTGTGATTTGTGTCTCTCCCAAAGACTCCCCTTGCCTTCTCCCCTGCCTTGTCTGAAATCTCCTACTTTTTAAAAATAACACCTCTGTAAACAGTGGGAGGACAGGACTCACATGGGTGGTCTCTTATAATGAAGATAGAGTATCTGGGAACAATATTTTAATGTGTCTTTCTTCTAATTGAGTTTTTCCAGCCTTTGGGATAATTATTTCTACCAATTAGCCCAGTGGTATTGTTAACTGGAGGCAACCAGACCTTCTTCAGGCCTCTGACAGAGGTTTACAGTATGCACAATGGTGCACAGTCCAGTTTATGAGAAAAAAATTGCCCCTCTGCTCCCAAAAGTATGGGAAACTACTCCATTGTGAGACAAACATTTCCCATGGAAATTGTCCTGAGAAGCTTCAGAAGGGTAACGTTTCAGATAAAAGCAAGTTGGTGGGGATTGTGAACCACAGCTCAGGAAAGAGGGGATTATCCCTGGAAGGGGCAGTGGCACAGGAGAGGGGAGGCAGGGGACGGCTTTGGCCCTTGCACTGTCCCAGAGGAGATGCCAGCCCACCACCCTGAGACCTTCCTACCCCAGCAATGGAAGTACAATGCAAGATTTAACAAGAGGAAATAAATTAGGAGTGAACTTTAAGCCCTTCTTTGCAAACATAACAGCTAGACACTTGTTTTTCCTAATAAATGGGAGCTGCTGGATGGTGCAGGGAAGGGCCAGAGCAGTGGCCTTGGGCACAAGCCTGGAGTGGCTTTGTTTCACCTCAGCCCTGAGCTGGGCACTTTTAAACACTCTGCTGCTCATAGGCCTGGCAAGAACTCAGTGTAAGGTCCCTGCAGCAAAAATATACAATTGTTATAAAGGTAAAGACTAGTGAGGAGTAATGTATAATCTGATAGAAAATAGGCACAACACTGGATAATTTCAAGCCACGTCTTACACGACCAAAAATATTTCTTTGGCCTAAATTCAGTTAGTGAAAGCAGCAAAAGTTTTCAAGTCGAAGATGAATGAGGCCCTTACATAGACTGAAATGCAAATGACCTGGTGATGATGGACATATAAATATAAATTCTTACCTAGACTTAAAAAAAAAAATATTCTCCCCGAGTTTTTAAAGGAAATAGGGGAAGAAATGCTCCTCTGCAGAAATATCTTAGTGGAATCCTTCTCATTAGAAAATGGTCATTCCTGGCAAAGGAAGACATCTGTGGAAGAAGAAGAGCATCAAGAGAGTTGTCTCCAAATTCAGGATTTTTAAGAGAAATCCTTTAAATATGGCTCATTTTATGAGAACTCTTAGATGTATGTTTGTCCCTATCTTCCTCACCTCCCTTCCCTTCCCCTAACAGGAATAAATTCTTCCTATATTGGAAGAGTCTCTGAACTACTGATGACAATTTCGGTGCTTTAGCAAAGAAGCAGAGAATTTATTACTAAGATAAAAGCCCCAAACATCCATTTCAGCATGTGCTAGGCATCCTGGTAGCAAGCCCTCAACACAACAAATATCTCCATACAGAGCCAAGAAGACTGAAACTCCAATGGAGCCACTCATGATGACCAGGAGGTGTGGCACAAAGGTTTGGATTGATTCCCATGAGGTTTAAGGAGCCAGTTAATGAGAATATCAAAAACACAACTCATTCACATCCATTGCCCTTGCCATGCTTCTTTATTTATTAAACATTTTATATTATGTATAAATGGATATATTTAAGGAACATGCCTCTATTTGTCATGGTTTTCCCTTGGAAGCAATGGCACCAGTTTTTTCCAAGGACCAATAGTCCTGTGAGTAGAAATCTGGTGATCCATTTGCCTAGACCATTCCCAATGCTGTCTGAGCTGTTCTGCCAAACCTGCAGTCACAGAGACTCTACAATACCTTTTGTAAATCTTCATTTCATCTGAAAAGTGAGAAAATAAGGGTGAGTGTCTTAAAAGCAGAACTGGATACAAAGGAGGTTTTCTAGCTTGAAAAAAATATTGTTTGATCTTCCCTTCATATTGTCAGGTATCCTTTACATTTCAGACCAACAGTGTCTGGTGTTTGGGTCCCAGTTTTAATCACCTCAGCCAGCCTGTTCTGGCTTTTACAAAAGATGAGCAAACTCTATCATAGTTCCAGGTAGGAAAGGGTTTTTTCACTGAGATCACACCATAATAAATTTCCTGGTGTCTGTTCTAGCAGAGTTTTAGTAACCTTAAAAGATGGGGGAAAGAAAAAACATAGAATCCCAACTACCAAATCTTGAAACAATTTCTTTAAAAGAGAGGTCTGTCTCAGATTATAAGAAAGTCCCACTGTGGTTTTCCACAAACTGCTACAGAAAAGCTTAAAATAGTGGATTGGGCAGTAGTCAACAGGGACAGCCTGGATCAGACCTAATGCACATCCATGCAAGACATTTTTTAACATGTAAGCCAGCATCAGATGCTTCAGAGAAAATTCATGCAGCTGTGGGATAATCTGCCTGCCAGGACAATTTCATCCTAAATCTTTATACTGAAACACTTAAACCCTGAAGAATGAGGTCTGATAGTATTTCCAAGCCTCTAGTTTTGTTAGCTTTGGAGTTACAGTTCACTCTGCACTTGCTCTCAGTATAAAATGTCCAATTCCTACTTGAACCTTGATAAATCCTTAGCTTCAAAGAGGCTCAGTTTCAACAATCTACCTAGACTTTGTCAAAAAGGTAAGGAGAAAGAAAAAATTTTGCAAGTGCCTTAGGTATCAGAACCAGCTCCAAGAGAATATAGCACTGAGGAAGATAAAGAAGTGTAACT